CCACCAACATGTGAGCCTTGCCAATGACTTAATTTTCTCAACACCTAAATAACCACTACGAAGATCTTCAAGAACAGATTTACGCAATGAAGGAGGAATGACAGCACGATCATTTAAACACAGAATACCATCAGGAGTAGTAGATAGCTCATCCCGCTTTGAATAATAGATAGGAAATCTACGTTTCAAATTAACAGTCCAGCCTTTCCGTATAGCACTGAGTATACATCCAAAATATCTACGAGTTTCTCTAATGAGATCTGAACGTCTCATTGGTAAAGGTTGTACTAACAAACAGTCCGAAGTATTAATAGGTCTATCTTGTAATGACTGTCGAGAAATGTAGTCAACATGTTGAATTTGTTTGGCACTCTTGTGCTGAACCGTATAGTCACATGTACTCAAAACAATACTCCATTGTTGAACCATAGCAGCTTAGGAACATGCTAAGGACTTTTTAGGGTGATGAATAAACTTTAAAGCTTCATGATCCGTAACAATGGTGAGTTTCTTTCCGAATAAATATTTATGAAGTCTTTTAAGAGCGCAAAACAAAGCTAATGCTTCTCGCTGAGTTTGTGAATAACTTTTTCCAGTAACAGTAAGTTTGCGTGAAACACAAATAACTGGTCTACCTTCCTGTTCCAAAACTGCACCAATTCCCACAGGTGATGCATCAGTAATAAGCACAGAATGTACATTAGGGGAGTACGTTCGAAGAACAGCATCACTTTGAAGAAACTTCAGCAGACTTCGTAAGCATGACTCTTGTTCCTCACTCCATTTGAATGATTGGATGTGAAAATATTAAATAAACAATTTGCACGACAAGAATAATTAGGAGTAAAACGGGAATAGTATTGAAGAGCGCCCACTAGTGGACGTAATTCCGTAAGATTTTTCGGAGACGGTACATTAGTCAGTGGAGCTAGTCGTTTCATATCTGGTCTAAAACCATTACCATCAACTAGGTATCCAAGACATTCGAAACTAGATACAAAAAATGAGCACTTATTTGGATTCACTGTAATATTCCTCTCAGTTAAACGACGCAATAAAGCAATAAGTCTCTGGTCGTGAACTACCTTATCAGAACCATGAACAATGAGACCATCTTAATAAACTTCAACACCTTCAAGATCACTAACTACTTTATTCATAACTTCCTGAAATATGGCTGTAGAACAACTTAGACCAAATGGAAGGAAATTGTATTTGAACAGACCAAAAGCAGTGGTAATTGTCGTCAAAATATATGAAGATTGATCTAAAGGAAATTGAAGATAAGCATCTTTTAGGTCAACTTTCGAGAACACTTTAGAACCGTGAAGTCGATTTAGAATATCTTCAGCTTCTACCGTCGTGCACGTTTGCTTCAACAAACTGGAATTCAATGTTAATCTATAGTCACCACAAATTCTAGGGGTCTTGCCGTCCGACTTCAGTGGCGTGACGATAGGAGTACCCCATGCTGAAGACTGAATTGGTTCAATTATGCCTTTCGCACACAAGTCGTTTAATGTCTTACGTACTGCTTCTGGAAGACCATACGGAATTATTCGTCTTTTAAGAAAGACTGGATTACCCTGTACTTGAAGTTTTATAGGCTGAATTTTCATACCTTCACTGCACTGAACACAAGTAGCTATCAAATCTTTAAGTTAAGCATCAGAAATTTCTTTAGAAACTAGAAAAGACAACTCCACTTTAAGCCTTTTCGAATTCCTTAAGGTATGTATGAAGAATTATCATCTCAGATTCAAATTCAGATTTTAAATTCAAATCCGGATTTGTATAGAAAGGACAGAAGGCCTACGGCCTATGTTATCCCTTTTCTAATATGCTTCTGTGAGTTTCCAGTCTTCTCTTGAAAGAGTCAGTTGAATGTGTGGACACCACTGCTTCGGGCAGCAGGTTCCAAGTATTGATGACTCGGTGTGAAAACCTGTATGCCACGGGTATTTTCTTCTTTCTCGTCTATTCTGCTCGCCTGCTATGTCCTCTGAGATGTCTCGATCTAGTGGGAAGAAAAAAAGAGCATAGGTTAAGTCCAAAATCAGTTCTCAGTATTCTGTACATCAAAATTAGATCTCCCCTTGATCTGCGATAGGACAGAGTAAAGAGGTTCAGCTTTTCAAGCTGCTCTTTGTATGGTAAACCCCAAAGTTCTGGAATTGCACGGGTGGCCGCCCTCTGTACTATTTCTAGGACATCCGAGTCACCTTTTAGACAGGGGCTTGCAGGCTGGACGCAGTTCTCAAGCTTAGTTCTCACTAAGGATGTGTATACTCTGGTGAACATGGTAGTGTCTAACTTAGTGAATGTCCGTTTTAAAGCCCAGAGGGTTCGGAACCCCTTGGCTACGACCTCTCGGCAATGGGCCGTCGTCTTAAGATCATTACTCACTGTCACCCCTAGATCCTTATGAGACCGGACTACTGGTAATGACACATCCCCTATGTTGTACGTAAAAACCTTTGTATCCCCAAGTGCATGTAGACACACTTTGCCTCATTGATAGGCATCAGCCACTCTTTAGACTTGCTATTCATATCATTTAATTCTGCCTGAAGAGCACATGCATCTTTGTCTCCAGTTATTACTCGCCCGATTTTTACATCGTCAGAGTATAATAACATTGGGGACTGTACTGTACTTGGGAGTTCATTTGCACAGTATAAAAAGTAAAGGGCTTAGGATGGAACTTTGAGGTACTCCACTAAGTACTTGTCTCTAGATGGAGCACTTCTAGTTTATGATTATTTTCTGTCTACGACCCACTGGTAAATCCTTAAGCCATTTTAAAATAGGTTCAGCAATACCAAGGTTTTCCAACTTCAATAACAGTCTATTAGTTAGCACCTTGTCGAAAGCTTTACTGAAGTTTATGTAGATATCATCCACTGAGTTTCCGTTGTCTAGCACCTTTATCCGAAATTCCCTTGCTATAAGGAGGCTCGTTGTACAAGACAGACCCTTTCTAAAACCATGTTTTTCTATGTTTAGCAAGTTATTGGTTTTCCATAAATGCCATTATGGTCCGTTTGACTATTCTTTCCAATATTTTAACTACAACACTGATAAGGCTTACAGGTCTGTAGTTCGATGGAAGTTGTCTTGGTCCTGTCTTATGTATGGGAGTGCCGATTGCGTCCTTCCAGTCCATAGATAACACACCTTGGTCAAGTGACATATTGAATATCACAGTCAGTGGAGCCGCGATATGTTGTGCAATATGTCTCAAAATTTTTGGGTGCAGTTTATCTCTTATTAGCAATTCACAACATCCTCGTATGGGCAGTCTGTGTCCAGTAATCCCCAATATATTGAAACTTCAGTGGGTCGTTACACAACATTAGGATCTAAAGATTTCATGTTCTTAAATGAATAATAGACTCTATACTGATTGTGTCCACAATAAAGTTATCACATGAACCAAGCGATGCATATAATCGCTTTTGAATATGAGCATTGCCTTTCGAAATGGTTGACAAAGATAAATGGTCATTAGGAACAGCCGAATTATTGGGATCTAAATAACAAGATCTATAACTACTTGAAGCAAAATGAACAGTACCTTTGCATACTGACTGAATGTGTTCTATCTTACCACATTTAAGACATTTGGCATTACGAAATGCACATGAACTACGAGAATGAAATTTTCCACGTGATAAAGTTTTAACAAACTTGATCTCATCTTTGTGATTTGCTGTGTAATTTCTTGTTTAAACAGCTTTAATGTTAACATGAGAATAAAGATCACTGTTAAAGCAAGGCGTTTGATTGACCCTGAGATTGTATTTCATTATGACCACTAAGCAAAGTATTAGAAATCTTCATCAAGTTCATTCACTACCTCGTAGTTAATAAGAGCACATTAGACGCTGTCCTTAAAAAACTTTCATCCACTTGACCGTTCCCTTCATTATTTCCATCATCAATATCATAGTGCTAAAGACATTCAACACAATTTTTTACCTTATTATTTGTGAACGAGAAAACACATCATACATATCAATAATTGTTTTTCTTGCCTCTTCCCACCATTTTCTCGTCAAAAGGTTCTACTAAAGATGGATAATGGCTAATAATAGTATCCAGGATGCCTGCTCCGTCAGATTTGAGACTCGATAAGTCAGTTGTTCTGTATTTCAGTGTTATTGTTCACATTGAGATTGAAATCGAATATCGATCATTTCAAACCTCGACGCATTATTCACTGGATAATGCACAGTATACTTCTGAACATTCGTATGTATTACATCATGTATTGAACTATGGTGTTTTGATACACTGTTTGAAGCTGCTGATATTTGTATATGTAGTAAAGAAACCAATCAGTAATGACAAGAACAACGTCAATTTAAGCCATAACAATAAATTAAAAAGTGAAGATTATATCAACAGACATATTTATACTTACTTAGGTAACTATTATTATGGAGAATACAAGTCAATCAACATGGATAATTAGGAGACATATAGATTGCAGTCTTAAAAGTTGTTAGTTGTGGAATTGGTAGCTGAATCACAACGTTTATCAACCATAACACTAAGGGACAATTGTTCCAGTGATATATGAATTATCTGCACTTTCTATACTGCATTTCTTTCCGATTGGGGACTGTGAGCTAGAGCAAAATTTTTGTTTCAAGCTACCTGCTCACTTCATTCAACCATCTTATATCTTGTTCATTCATAAGTAAGCAAACAGATGATTGATTGTAGTACACATCTATTACTCATCTACTACTTATACACATCGAACATCATTGGTTTAACACAGTATTCAAATTGAATAAGTCGTATTTTGATTGGTAAATAAATCACATGATCACTAACCAGGCTTTATGTTATAACATTTACCAATTTAAATGAAATTTTTTATTGGTGTTGTTGGGGGTGGTGTTAGTGATATAAACAGATTAGTAACTAAGCAAAGTTTCATATTGTTTAATCATTTATTTATTTTTCATTATTTTTAAAATATTTTTTATATGCATTCTATAATTAAATCAATTATCAAATTTAAAAGTAAAATCAATCAATCAAAAAAGGAACCCAATGAACAAATCATTCATTCAAAATATCAATTTAATTATTCAATAAATAATAATGAATCACAAAAAAATAAAAAAAATAATAGAAAAATAACACGAAAATGTAAGTTCATTTATAGCATAGTAACAATGAATAATAATTATTATTTTATTATATTATAGCATTAATTAATAGATTACATAATAGGCAATCATCAAATGAAAAATCTATAAATCAATATAATGATAATCAATTATCTAATGATAAAGATGATCATTTAGATGTATTAGATAATCATCAACAAATTAATGATCAACTTATGACATCATTAAAATTAATTAAAAGTCTACCTAATTATGAGTAAGTTAATATGATCAATTAAAAAGATAATCATTTTGTTTTAAAGAGATTTATATCATGATCATAATAATGATAATATGAATGATTATCAAGAATATAAACAAACTATACAACAAATTAATTCTATCTTATCAAATCCAATAATCATTAATCCAAATTATACAGAAGAAGAATTAAATAAAGAACTTGAAAAACTGTAAGTATTTCATGAATTTTGATTAATATAGATTAACATTGTTGAATGCTGGTAGACTCAATGCTTTAGAGATTAAATGTTCACGCGTGAGACTGATAGATCCTGGGTTCTAATCTCATGAAATGAGATTATGGATGAGCACTGCTGATGAGTCTCAGAATATAGGACGAAGTGATCATCCAATGCTTTCAGATTTTCCATGGTGGTCTAGCTTCAATTGACTTATAATCTCAACTATTATAATTATATTTTGTTTGATTATATTATTTATTGAAATAGATCATCTTTGTTAGTATCTATTGAACATATTGAATAATTTTATTATTTACCTGACGTGAATGTTTTGTAATCAAATGATTTGTATATAATTTGAATATAAACAGTATACACGAATCATGCATAAATCTCCAATACTTTTTGTGACCTCTTTATTTATTTATTTGAATAAATAAATATTGGTACAAAGAGGCACCGAATGCATATGCGCCACACAAGTCAATTGATTTGTGTATGTGGGCTGTGATACTGCCCAGGTGCCTAGACCGAAGCAGGTGGTTTTCTTAGGAGCGCACACTCGCAACCTTTGACCTAAAGGTTTGATCCACAAGCCAGCGGAGTAACGTCAGGAGATGCAGTCCTATAGTAGCCGGTGATCAAAGATTAATTCATACGTCATTTGGAGCCCATGTGCACCATTGATTTAGAGTCAGGGTTTTCCGACTCCCCTAGGTGGACCCTCCACGTCCACCAACCCGGTTAGAGCTTCGAACATTCTTTTTAGGTCCTCTCAATTTCGTAAACAACATCGTTGTGAGAAGGCAGTGAATAGGATTTTCTGGCAGTGGCTGTATACACGTGACCGTTTGAGAGCATTTCGGGAGGGAGAGCTGACTCTTCCTACTCTCGGCCCTGGTACGGCAGAGTATATATATATATATATATATATATATATATATATATATATATATCATGAATGACCCAGATATATCTAGTTTCATTCTATCATAAATAATTAAACTTTCGTTGTTCTGTCTAGTTTAAAACTGTTGGATCAAATATTGAACCTAATATGGTTTATAAATTTTGTTTTCCGAAGCTTCCTATTCAGTCAAGATAATATGTTAACTCACAACGCATAACGAGCTAAAGTCTAAACGGGCAAAACAGAATTGTAAAGATGGCTTTATTATCAAACAATCAACACATTATTTAACTTTGTAGGTGGACAAAACAACTGCTTCACTTGACTCATGATCCCAAATATTGAAATATGATTTCGTCATTTTAATTGTTTTATATTGTTTTGTTTTTTCTAAAATAGACTCAAAACAGTTTAAGTAAGAACAGGTCATCTCAGTCAATCATATTAAATGTTGGATTAACAGAAAATCTTAACAGTAAGTGAGAATAGTCTTTTCATTCAAAATGTACATTCATAAAACTTTCTTTGAAATTGAATACATTTTTCTTTTTAAATATTCTGATATTAAAGTTTACATAAAATATATTCACTTCAAAGATCTCAATGTCTGGCATATAAGACATCATCTAGTAATTATGAACGTTTATGTTATAAGTGTGACTGCAGATTAGAGGACAGTGACTTATCGATCGGATCAAGGACGGGTAAAATACGTTTGAGCAGCCCTAGAGTCGTGATTGGTCCCGCTTCCCTGTTCAGCCCAGCTAGTTTAGTCCAGAACGCAAGTCTCAGCCTCTGAGATATGCATCGTTATATTACAAAGATTCTGAGTTTATATACCAATCAAACAGACCACAACGTACCAATAAAATATGAAACAACGTTTGTACAAGAATTAGTCAGATGTGGCTGTGAATGAGGGAGGTAGAGACTAACTTTCTCAAATAATATTGATTCATGGCATAAATTAATTCAACCATATTTGAAAATTGGTATCATTGCCATAATTGAATTTGATAGATTTTCAAATCAATTGAGCATTGGATAGTAAGTTAATCACAAGTATATTTCTGATGTAAATATCTAGCCAAATTTATTCTGAAGAAGTAGTTCACATTAAGTCACGAAACATCAGAAATACAACTTTTCTATTCATTAGAATACAACAAAAAATATATTTATTATGAAATTTGAAAATGTTTTAAAGTGTTTTGATCGATAGATATAAAAGAATTTATAATTCATTTATATGAACATATAAACATTGGTACAAATGGATACTGAATACACACTCGCCATACAAGTCACTCAATTTGTGCATGATACTGCCTGAGTGTCCAAACCGAAACAGCTGGGTTCTCTTAGGCAGCGACTCCTCAAGTATTTAATCCAGAGGTCTAATCTCCAAGGCAATGGAGCAACTTTAGGAAATGCAGTCCCATGATAGCCGGTAACTAATAATTGATTCATACACCATTTGCTCCTTCAGGATCCTGGAGCTCATATGCATCATTGATTTTGAATCAGGGTTTACCAACTCCCCTAAATGGATCCTGCATATCCACCAATCCGGTTAAAGCGCCAGAAATTCGCTTTTCGTCCTCTCAATTTCGTGATAACACTCTCGCCACGAGAAGGAAATGAGTAGGAGTTCCGTGGCAGTGGTTTATATGTGTGGGGATGTGAGAGCATTTTGAGTGGGACAGATGACTATCCCCATCCTCAGTCGTACTAGGGTATTTATGAGTGAAGTTGAACAGCATTATATAATGCATACTAATTATTATTATTTTCTTAGAAACAAATAAACAAGCAATATATATGACATTTTATTTATCAAAAAATGTTGATTATTATCTACTGATAAATAGATTAGTTTAGATTCATATTGATAAATAATTTGGCATTCAATATACAACGTTTATTGTTTATCATCATATGATTCTATAATATAAAATATTTGTATTAATATCAGAGTAAGCGTGACGCATACAACATGTATATACATGATAGTAACTTAATATTTCTTATAAATAATAAGAAGAAATTACATTAGTATAACTTGGATTAGTATTTAGATATCTTTGTAGCATAATGTTTTGACGTTAAAACTGTCAACCTTTTACTTATCATAAAAAGAAGTGTCTCTATCATATTCATGTGTTATCAGTCCCTAGACAGTAATCTAACGACGAGTTGCAGGTATATCCAGCTGACGAGTTGCAGGTATATCCAGCTGACGAGTTCCAACTAGGACGAAACGCGCGTCAAACTGGATTCCACTGCTAGCTACTATCCATCTTTGCTTAAAACGCTTGTGACTTAAGACTATATCGAGGTTATTTACACAGGATGCTCATGTCAACAAGAGATTGATCAATTACAATTCTAAACATTAACGAGATGATACAAATAAAACAACACCAAGTGAATGATATTCACAGTTTACATTACTAATTTTGGTCAAATAGCTATTGAGACCCTATGAATACATTGGACAGTTGTTTGGTCCTAGTATGAGCACTTCTGAGAAGTGTATTCTGATAACCTTTGATCTCTTGGAGAGAACTAAACCACTAAGTTACTAAGACACCATTCTATATGTATAAATATTTGTTAAGTAAATTATGAATCCATACAACAAACTACCAATTTTTTAAATGAGTTGATCCCTAAAATAAACTTAGAGAAAATAGAGACTCAGATATATCAAAACACAATAAGGTGTAGATCAAATTCCTAGCTATAACAGAAATAATTCTATGAATTGTAAGATCATTTGGTTGCAAATCTGACAGAAACAAATGAGTACATACTGTAGTATACTTTCCAACAAAAGCACTCTAATCGATTTTATTCAAACTGAAAGATGAAACAACAAAATAAATCAAATATATTCTATAAAATGGTCCGATTTAACCACGAAAAACATAATACAATACAAAATGGTTATATTATTCACCTTTGTCTATGTAAATGGCCCCCAAATGCCCTGGTACGGCCGACAGTGCGGAGAGTCCGCTCACCCTCTCGAAATGCTCTCACATGGCCACGCGTATATAACCTCTGCCATGGGATTTCTACTCACTGCCTTCTCGTGGCGTGGATGTTATTTAAGAAAATGAGAGGACGGAAAGCGAATGTCCGGCGCTTTAACCGGATTCCAAACCAATGGTGTACACTGGGCTCCAGTATCCTAAAGGAACAAATGGCGTATGAACCAATCGTTAGTCACCGGCTACCATGAGACTGTAACTCCTTACGTTGCTCCATTGCCTTGTGGGTCAGACCTTTAGATCGAATGCTCTGTGTGTGGCCCCTAAGTAAACCAACTGGTTCGGTTTGGGCACCCGGGCAGTATCACAGCCCTCCCACAAATCAAATGCGATTTGTTTGGGGCGTATGTATTTGGTGCCTCCTTGTACCAATATCTATGTGTTAAAATAAATAATAAATAAAATATCAAATGTTAAAACAAATTTTCATTGTTATCAATGTATGTGGATAATTGTGAACACAAGTTTAACTGAAATGTTCACAAATCATAAACAGAAACAATATTAGAAAATACCAGTAAATATTTTTAAAAAAAAATTACCACCCTCCCTCCCCCCCCAAAAAACCCCCCGTAAGTAATTAATAATACGCACTAATATTGACCAACCAACTAGAAGAAATCATAATCAATTACAAAATCATAACTAAATATTAAGTCATGGGATGAATACAATTAAAATCAATATGAGATGGTGGAGAAGATTTGTAGCTCAGGTGGTTGATTTTGGTGGAGTTTTGTTTTCTGAGCTGGATGGTTTGGTCGTGGAGCTTTTATCGTTCTTCTGAACGACATCATCAGCACAAACTTCAAATAGAAGTGAAGTGTTCGAATTTTTCCATATGTATTTCACAGCTTGTTCTGTGCACCTCAATGGTGATTGGTTCTTATTGACCTTAAATTTATCATTGTTTACTTCTTTGCTTTGGTTGTCTCCAATTGGTTTGTGCATGCACATGCACAAATGTAGGAACAAAAATCAAATTCGGACACGTTACTTCTATCTGAAGTTTGTGCTGATGATGTCGTTCAGAAGAACGATGAAAGCTCCACGACCAAACCATCCAGCTGAGAGAACAAAACTCCACTAAAATCAATATTCATATAATGAAAAAAAAATAATTGTTACTAACACCTGATGAAATTTTTCATGATTCACAAAACAATTTGTTTTATCACATGTAAAGAAATTCCAATGATGTTTATTTCTATTTGAAATTTGCAGTACATGTGATGTTGTTCAAAATGGCAATCACTATATTTATTGATCAAACTGTTCAGTTTAAACAAATAAAAACTGCACAGAAAAATAACAACTAGTCGATTTATTGATCAGTGAAATCATATAGAAAATTTGTAGCTCAGTTGGATAGTTTAAATGTTGTTGAGTTTGATGACGTGAATGTAAGGAATTCATTGTCATTTAGGATAATATGAATTAGTACTTACTTTATAGACTATTCACATAAGTTAAGCATTGATCATGTTATCTAGAATGACAATCAAAATTCTTTTTTTGAACACATAAATACTGGCACAAGAGAACACCAGTTACATATGCGCCACACAAATCTCATTTGATTTGTGTGAGGGCTGTGATACTGCCCGGGTGCCCAAACCGAACCAGGTGGTTTGCTTAGGGGCCACACACAGAGCATTCGATCTAAAAGTCTAACCCACAAGGCAATGGAGCAATGTAAGGAGTTACAGTCTCATGGTAGCCGGTGACTAACGATTGGTTCATACGCCATTTGTTCCTTTAGGATACTGGAGCCCAGTGTGCACCATTGGTTTGGAATAAGGGTTTTTCAACTCCCCTAGGTGGACTCTCGATGTCCACCAACCCGGTTATAGCATCAGACATTCGCTTTTCATTTTCTCAATTTCGTAAACAACACATGAGCCACGATAAGGAAGTGAGTAGGATTCCCCTGGCAGAGGCTATATACGCGTGGCCGTGTTGGAGCATCTCGAGAGAGCGAGCGGACTCTCCGCACTGTCGGCCGTATCAGGGCATTTGGAGGCAATCAAAATTCTACAATTAAACTATCTAATAATCAATCTATCTCAATTATATTAAAATGATTTGTAATTATCATATTAAAATAACTTATTTGATACTGAATTATTGCACTGACCATATTTCGTCTGTAATATTCATCTAGAATGAGTCATATAGATATCATCAACTTATGTAAAGTAGAAAAGGTAAATGTTTTCAAAATGAAATGAATTTGTATCACTGAGGTCTACGTCGTTATTAGTACTGTTCTAATAATTGATCTAATCCTGAAATTGAATTGACGTGATGTGACTACCTAATCTATAAGATCTTACGTGGAAGTTACATCATCGTCTACACTGACTCTTCCTATCATAAGAATGACCAATATATGACAGAGAACATATTCAAGCCGTAAATAGAACCATATATATATATATATATATATATATATATATATATATATATATATATATATATATTGTATTGACATGTCTTCTAATAATTGTCGCAATACATATCTCAGGAGAGTTGAAAGAGTTCTATGACGACCATTCAGTATATACCAAACCATTAAATATGCTAACTCGTAGTTTAACCAGTAGATATGTCATCAATATATATCATTTAGTAGACTGTTTTCCAGTGACCGAATGTCAAAGGCATCGATAAGCTGTTACGATTCATAAAATCATTTCTTTCAATATATGAGTGTACACGAATCTATAAAAACTCGTCAGATGAGGTGGTGAGTACTTGTATTATGTATATGTAACCACCGTCTACCTAGATTTGTTGCACAGCTCGGTGTACAATTGGGTTTTAAAAAAGCTAGGAGCCAAGAAATTAATATATAGAATGAATCTACGAAGTTAACAATCACTAATCTGATGGATCTCGTTAGAGACAAGAATCTTGTTAAGAATATGTTCAATAGTCGTAATCCATAGTTGGAGACTTAAAATTGGTCATAGTAAAGCAGCTGCATTCGCTCTCATTATTTCTTTTGATGATTAGTTTTTATGACATTATCAAATTTCCATTCTTCACTTTAATTTATTTCTTTTGAACTGTCTCACTGCTGTTAAAATTAATTTAATACCCTGTCTTCCAATCTTTTCTTGCCGTGCTGATGTAAGGCATGACACAATCGAGTCAAATCCTATGTCTTAAGGGGCTAAACCGAAAATGTACAAATCTCATGGTGGGTACATGATATTTAGACTACTGAAACGGAATCAGATGATCAACATTAACATTTTCAAATAATATGGAGTAAAATATAACCACTACTAAATGTCATCAGTGATAACTGCCTGGGTTCCTGTGTTGAGTTTTGGGTGTGTACAGTCGGTGATTTCCAAACTAGGGTGAAAGAGTTTTTGAAAAAACACAACCCATTAATGTATATTATGATAGAGTCATGAAATATGACGGTCAATGGATTGTAAATATCTTAAACTCAGTCACGACCCAAATAGGTCAATGGTAACGTCTCAGACTATGAGGTTGTATGAATCGGGTTCAATTCTGATTGATAACATCAGTACCCTAATACCTCATATATGGCACGAATGCATGGTGATAGAGTTCCATGTTGGGGAGAAATATCGATTGATAGTTATGTAGTTAATCTTTGTTTGTGTTGTAAACCAGTTTTGAAAACACATTCATATTTATCAGAAGGGCTTTTGTGGAGATTTTTAGAAATTTCACTCGTTGAAATCATGAGTCAACTGAAGCTAGACCATCATGGGAAACCTGGAAGCACTGGACGGCCGTTTCGTCTTAGTATGGGACTCCTCAGCATCACGCATCCACGATCTCGCACCCCGCGAGACTTGAGCCCAGGACCTGTCGGTCTCGCGACAAGCGCTTTACCAACTAGACCACTGAACCGGTACCCAACGGTGTTAATGTCTAACTTCAACCAACCAGGTCTGTTGTGAGATATCAGCTCATTGAAGACAATGGTGTACTGTGGCGCAACTTCGTGGATTGGTTGAAGTTAGACATTAACACAGTTGGGTGCCGACCCAGTGGTCTAGTTGGTTAGGCGCCTGACGTGAGGCTGGTGGGTCCTGTGTTCAAGTCTCCCGGGGTGCGAAATCATGGATGCGCACTGCTGAAGAGCCCCATAATAGGACGAAACGGCCGTAGAGTGCTTCCAGGTTTTCAATGGTGATCTAAATTGGACCAGTTCATGATTTCAATGAAATTTATTATTTATCGTCAATAGCCTTCATAATGATCATAGATAACTGAATTCATCAGTTGTGATTAAATTAATAATATGGTGATTTAATTTCTACGTTCATTAAATGTAACATAGTATTCAAGTATATGTTTGTGTATACATCTCCAATCCATAGTTTTCATATTAGCGCTAGTAATACTCCCTGACTATTATAAAAAGTCCTTAAGCAGACAAATCAACGTTTGGAAGTGAATCCAAAGTGATTAAATTACAATTACTACTAATTAACAGTACTAAGTTGTAATTGAAAATAAAAGAAGGAGAGAGATAGATGGGTAAAAAACAAATAATGCTTACTATACCATTGTCATATTCGAAGAAATCGCCTAATTCGTGGTGTTACACAACATTTTTAAAATATTCAAATCAATGTTTACTCGGTTATAACAAAAGCTCTCACCAAACTGATCGCTAGTTAGTATAGAATGATAATAATAAAGATTAACAATATGAAAGTGTTATAGGTTGTGAACCTTTGTGCCCTGTATATTGGATAACGCAACGATACCGCCAATCAGAGAGCAGCGAATTATCGATCGAACCAGTGACGCATAAAACACGTGCGAACAGCCTAGAGTCCTGATTGGTCTCGCTTCCTGTCTAGCCCAGCCAGTTAAGTCCCGAACACCGATCTCAGCCTCTGCAATATGAATCATTTATCTCAAACATACGGGGTTGATATACCAATCAAACAGGCCACATCGTACCATAAAATAGGAAACAACATTTGTACATGAATTAGCCAGATGTGGCTGTGAATGAGGGAGATAGTAATTAATAGACAGGCCATAACTCAAGAATGGTAAATCGTATAGTAATAGTCTATGGGTCAAATTAAAGCTTATAATAAGAGCGACATAAATATGAACAGTTTAGTTACATAACAATTATACGATAAAAATATACACATAGCACTGGTCCATAAATGGATCCCAAAAGTTACCATTCATTCTGCTTATCGGGATATAACAGAAAGATAGGAATATATATATTACTGATAATTGTTAATTTAGTAATATGTTATTCATTGTTTAATCAGATTTATTTACATTTAGAAGGCATATTGTTGCGTGCGGAGAAGATTAAATTATGGGTAACTTCCGAGAACTATATACGGACTGTTATTATACATATAATCTTATTGTATAACCGTTAAGCAACTAGG